CTTCAGTGATAGTCAGTCAGTTCATTTGGCCCGACTGCAACACAGATGGCAATCTGTTAACTCTGATCAAAAGTCTCCCACCAAGTTAGGAATTCCATGCAGGTTACGGTCTGATTTTCCAACGAATCTGCAAGGCCAAATTAACTGACTATCCGTGAAGACGACACCTGAACAAACATGGATTGGCAATTTGGTTCAGCCATGGTATGAGCTGGTTAGCATAGTGGTAACGCACATGCCTTCCTTGTGATGGGTCCAGGGTTCAAATCCTGGACGCTTTGGGGGATATGCACTACTGATGAGCTCCAATAAGAACGAAACTCGAGTCTATTGCTTCTGAGTGTATGATTGACTGGAAGAACTGGGGAATGTCCGTGAAGGTGAAGTCCGAAGGTTAGTCAGTCAAATCAATCAATGTCAATTATCCCACATCACTACTCGAAAGTGACTGAGTTAAATGCAAATACTTCTTTTGATAACGGGCATCCGTATTCAAATTCAAAAATACCTCGTTTCATTAAACGAATCGACTTCGTTCAGTTCTACTGGCCAATGAAACAGGAATGGGTGAGTTGCACCAAGTGTTTAACTGGTTGTTGCCGCTAAGCCGTTCCCAAGGTTTGCCCCGAGCCCCTCAACAAAGTTCGAATAAACCCATGGTTTATGTGATGAAAATTGCATCGCTCGGATTGCACCACCGCAAGCACTTAACGTGTCCTGGTCATAGTTGCTACGGTAAACCTTGATTGAACTACCGTCACTGTCCGAATAACCACAACACCAGTCTTGATATAGTTAGTAGCTCGCAGTAAACAATACGTTATCAGTTGTGTTTATCCATTTGGATTTAGATTAACTATCTCGCGCGTATCATGTGGAGTCAACGATCCTTCGAATCGACAACGAGCTCGACAAGATGCAAGACTGAGATAGTGTGGGAAGACAGGTAGTCTGTAGTGGAACAGTCAATGTTTTTTACAAAACACTACTACTCACGGATGACGTAATTAATATTTAGAACAGCCGGAGAGGTTTTGAGATCACGGTTTGTAAGGCGTCAAGCAGAACTTCATGTATGAAGGTGTGCAAGGGCCTATCGAATAGTAACGATCTAGAGAGTTCATAACGCTTAAGGATAAAAAAGGAATTGAGATATTTTGTCCAAAGTATTTGTTTTGCATAGAGGTAAACTGCACAATAAACATTTCAAAGAAAAGTTGGTTACTTGGGGATAAGGTGCTATTGAAACGATTAGAGATTTCCTAAAACAATATATAGAACCTAAATTCGAGCATCTGACGAGCATTCCTCTAAACACACAAGTTTGCGCTGTGGTAATTGCCACGTTCATATAGCTCGACAATCTGACCGTATTTTCCCTGGAATTCTGCAAAATTTCCCAGGGTAACAACCGAAGAGACGTATTAATGCTTTGGTATCTGAGAAACCCTTGGACTTTTCTATTTGACCTGCACTGGCACATCCTCCGGACAAGTAAGTGTAAGACATTCTTACAAATAGGCCATACTGGACGAGTGCAGTTGCTGAAGAGAGAAGTGAGCTGTTTTGACTATCTTCATAAACTTAAACCAAACTTGCTTTTTTTTATTTACTGGATACACATATGTGCAGTCAACTTTCAGGAAGGGGGCCGTGGCCATACATAGGCCGCATGGGAAACTACAGAAACGGGGAAGACAGGCGGTAGTGGTGCGGTTCGAACCCGGGACCTAACCACTTGGCCACCACCGTAATCGCTGTGCAATAGGCTGCAAAAATCAGAACGGGATGCAACTACTCGAGTGCCGTTGGATATCATTATGGTATACTTCATATTACTGAAAAGATAAACGCATGTTCCAGCGTTCCCTCACCTCTACTCTATCCCAATTCAAAATAACACGTCTTCGGATGCCGCATGCTGGGATCTTCTATCCAGATGTGCATCACCTCGATGAACGAAAACGTCATCCATGCATGTACAGAATCGATCGACAGATTACATGGAATCAAATTAGAGGAGACAAATTTAGTTAGTACGCTTTCGGTACAAAAAGCATGTCTCCTTTCAAAATCCTATTGAAGCAACGGTCACAGCCCGAGAACTTGCACTTCAAAAGTATTGGAAGAGGCAACCAGGCTATCGGTCGGAACAGGCCTTTTTTAATTACATCTAGGTGCGATGAACAGCAGACGGGGCGAACTCCATAGTCACGAAGACCTGCTGTTCAGTGATTGAAATCAGCAACCTAAGCCCCGGGACTTGGAGTGGCGAACCACCTAAGGCGTGGTATTATACCGGACGACAGCAGGGCTGCCTACCACCAAAGTCGGGTGGCGGGGCTCGAACCTCGGACCATNGGACCATAGGGTCCAAGACACGCCGGTGACTGCGACTAGACCACTGCGTCACCACCCACTGTCTGGTCTAGACAGCCATATATAGCGCTTGTTACGGCGGCTGAAGCACTGTAGATGATTATGGGAACATTTCGATGACTAAAACAAGTTTTTTTCCCTTGTCTTTCAATCTGGTCTTTGTTCATCTATACCATTTGTTATTATTCCTATCAAGAATAACGGTTTCGATTCTCGTTTGATTCCGCTCGGTTGAGCATTAACACTCCATTTGTTTGTTTATCACTGTACAGTCCGCCTACTGAGGATCACTGTCAAGTATATAT